ATACAAAATAATCAAAATATTTAACTGATTATTGTTTGTTCTATTACAATCTTTTTAAAGAATGAAATCTAACTAGATCTTGTATTATATTATTCTAATGTTTTTAAAATTGTTTATGCAGGACAGATCATAAATAGTGCTACAATAACAATATCAATTATCTTTGTTCGACTTGAACGTATTGTATTGATTTTTTTTATCAATGATAGAAAAGTATTCAAAGTTTTTTTCGAATAAGAAAATCATTAACGAAGCACTACTTTCAATTCTTGACATTCACTTCAATACGTGTTTTGGCCTTTACCAGGTTCGAATATCAACGAAAAAAGTCAAAGTGATACATTTACATAGCTGTGATAGTACTGTTGAAGTACTGAAATATGTGGCATCTTCTATCTAAACAATTAAAGAGTGAAAATTTCCCAAAAATAGATTCAAAATTTGTGTATCTATCTGGTGGTTTTAACGGCTTTTGTTTTCACGTAATATCTTGGAAACCGAGCCGAAATCGCTTTTTTCCTCATTTTTAGTGATTGAAACTGCGGTTTCGGATACTTTTTGGAATCACCAAACTGTACTATAGAGTATATCCGTCGGAAAAGGAACTCATATTTAAATGCATCTATTTATGTTATTTAATATCAATATAAAATGTTACGATACCGTATTGCATTGAATGTCGACAATTGAAAACAGTGCTCATTGATGGTTTTCTTTTGAAAGAAACTTTGAACGCTCACTAATCATTTATAGAAAAATCAGCTCAATACTTTCGAACAGACTGGAGATATTTCAGGTTTTTTGGGGGTAGAGATATCGATGGCTCATCTTGTATGAATCATATATTTGAGAACGTGTGAAATGAATTCAATAATGAAAAATTGAGATAAATGATAAGACAAGATTGATTCAGAGACATCAAATTTTTTTTCAAAAGAATTAATAACTTTGTTTCGTAGACGACTCTTTTACGGCTTTCATAGTACTCGACACTTAGCAATGCTACTTAGATAAGAAAATAATTATCCATAGATAAAAAAAAGCAAATTTAATTAGAGCAAAATCAAAATCAAACACTTGAGCTTGACTTTCATTCTGTAGCTCTCGTTCTGTTGGTACCCATGCCTATTTTCAAAAAGTATTTAGGCATACATTCTCCTTTCTATAGTGCTGTAGAGTAAAGTGCATTATTTTCTTTGATATGGGTGAGAATGACCGAGCACATGATCTGTAGGTTTTACCTCATGCTGTTTTAACATATTGTGGAGATCATTTTTTTTCAATTGATATATACTTTAGTGAGAAAAAATATTTCTTGAAAGAATAAAAATGCAATCGATCAATTCAACAGTCATTTATTAATCCAAAACATGCATCGACTACATTTCAAGTGAATTGTCCCCATTTATTATCAATGAAAGAACGATTATGTTTCAGATTATCAAACGAAGATTTTATCATTACAATTGGTATAGAAAGTAGTTTGAAATATCTTATGAATATTTTTAAATAAAAATAAAAATACATGGAACAACAAGCAAGAACAGTTGACGACAACATTAGTGATAATAGATTATATGGCTTGATAAATCTTAATCCATTATTGAAATCATCATTTTCTTGATATAATTAGCAACAACAAGAAAACAAAATTTTTGATGGAACATTTCTATTCTCCTTTATTGATAATATAACAAATAATTTATCAAAATGAAACAACCAATACCAATACGATGATTTTGTCAAACATTTTGCTATTTGTTTATTTTTATTAGATAGCAAATTGGCATATAGATTCGTTCGATTACATATTACTGGAGCGTTACTCAGTTTAACAACCTTGAATAATATAATCTTGGGCATAAGTCTTAGAATAACTGATGCTGAGTTTCGATTTTATGAATTTAAGCAACATCTAGATTTAATTAATAAAAAATGCTGCTTCTAAAATTGCACAAAATTTGTTCGAAAAATCAAATACAACGAACACAGAAATTTATTCATTGGATTTTCTGCTCCTTTAACAAATAAGGTACCATCTGTTAACCATATCCAAATAGATTCATTAGAATGATTAAGAATCTGATTTGCTTCTAACGATAAAAGAATAATACTAAATGTTCATATGCTCTAACCAGCTCCATCAAATCATCCAAATTCATCAGCTTAATTTTTACTATAAACATATGGTGTGAATAACTGATACAGATCAGCTGAAATTTTAAAATGTTGGAATTATATTGATGATGAATGTTGTAAAAAGCAAATAAGAATTTTTTTTTCGGTAGGTTTGATCATATACGAACATCTCGGCCTCTTTCACTGTATCCGTTGAAGCATCAAAAACAAACACACTTTTGCTGATACTACTTTGTTCGTGTGGGCAATAACAGAGACTTCACTTTTGCAGTCTTAAAATTTTTCTGAGACCTCATGAAATCTGTCGAAGTCTTGTGATGTCTCATCAAATCTTATACAGTCATCTCAAGCTTCACAAAGTCTCTCAAAGTGTTTGAAAATCTGTGGAAATCTCTTCAAATTTGCAGTCTGCTAGTCTTTAAGCTTGCTATCTCTGTCTGCCTTTTCTGATGGTTTTAATGCTATTCTTATTGGAATGTGTAATCACTAAAAATTCTTTTTCTTTGTTTTGAAATAGATTTTATCCGAAAGACAAACAGAATTATTGCCCATGGGAAACAGTAGCATCTGTAGATGTTTTGTACATTTTAAAACAGAACAATGATATCATAGCTGCATACGTTTATCTTCGATTACTAAAACATACAGTTATTGCATACATTGAAAAGACAATAAAAATAATAGGTGGTCTGCATTTAACCTAGACCATTGTATTTGTTGTCTTTGGAGACCATGGATAAGACACAATACATTTATTAAATCAAATTGCACAAAAACAAATAATAAGAAGGAGAACAAAGTTAAATACGTTCTGGCGCTTCCAGTCTATTATTTCATTGAAATCAGCGCACACTATTCATTGTAACTAATATTGTTAGTGAAACGACAATAACTGCCTCAGCATATGTTGAATATTTGCGTATTTATTTAGGGCTCAAATAGTTGAATTCATATTCAGAAATACAAGAGCTTCAATTGGAGTTTATTCAACGATTGCAAATTCCACTGGCATTGATTTTCTTTGGACAGCTGAAAGTTGTCCTTGTTTCAACAAATCAAGTGTTATGACGAAAAAAAATAAGAGTGGTCGTTTGTTATATCCTACACATTATAGATATAAACAAAAAGAGATTTGACAATCTATCAAAATGTCGAAGATATCGACAAATTAAACATTGAAAAGGTGATCTCGACTACGTACGAGACAACAAAACATTTGTTGAAAATATCGCATTTATTAAAGCAACATAATATTTATGAATTGAACAGCTTTAGTCTATATATATATGATGATCTATAAATTCACTAATATAGTGAATAATGATTCAACATGTAGTTTAAGTCACGAAAATGAAAATAATTCATCATTAGAAGACTACAGCATCGATAATACGCACGGAAATTCTTATGACAATGACGATGAAAATGGATTATTTAATTACAAAAACTACTTTTTTTCGCCATTAGCCCTGTTCGATTCAATCAATTAAGATCTAAAAGATTCTTAATTCAAAATTGATCTGAACAATAGTGTCATATATGCACAGACAAACATTATGCTGCCTCCTGGTTGAGGAAAACAATCATTTGTCAGCTGATCGTTTAAAGCGGGTGTGGGTGTGCGTGTGGGTGTGGGTGTGGGTGTGCGTGGGTGTGGGTGTGGCTGTGTGGGTGTGGGGTGTGCGTGTGTGTGGGTGTGGGTGTGTGGGTGTGGAGTGTGGATGTGGGTGTGGGTGGGTGTGGGTGTGGGTGTGCGTGTGGGTGTGGGTGTGGGTGTGGGTGTGGGTGTGGGTGTGGGTGGGTGGTGTGGGTGTGTGGAATATCGATGTTGGTGTGCGTGTAAGAAGAACGACTTACACTCACACCCACACCCACACCCTTTAATATTGTTGTTATTGGTTTACATAGCGCGAACTATAGAGTTATACTAGAATAGTTATAAGGTGAATTGTAACTTCATTTTATAATAACAACTATTAACTATTCTTAGTCACATGATATCAACACTGCTCACGTTATATTTCTAAATTTGAACTGTTTTTTTTTTTATTTCGAACTTACCTAGTGCCTGATAAATATAGTTCTACGATATTATCCAAAATCGATAGGATATCTTGTTGTTTCATTTTATAATCTCAAGTAAATAGTTTTGTTCTAATGAACAATTTTTTCTTAAAAATAAACAAATCAGAAAAATTTTTAGTCATTTTCAAGTCCTTCAAACTTGACTGATGTCATTTGAGTAGTACTTGAAGCGAAAGAATCAGTTTAAAATAAACAATTTATGTACAAATATTATACAATCTAACAAGATTTTATTACTATTATGTCAGTACTGGCTATGAGTCATCGAAGAAATATCAATCTCGTTTGAGTGTAGCTCATCAGTTTTCTTTACTCACAAGCAATTATCTTATTAGTTCATGAGTAAGTCATGTTGAGTCTGCAACTAAAAGAGGTAACGCAGTAAACAATCAATAATATATAATCTATTTTCGTGTCGTATTCTTTCATTCTCAATCTTTGATGATTCTATTGCGACTTGCAATAGATAGTGTAGGAATTCAAAATTCATTTTATTTCTAATATTGAGTTATTGTTATTGTTTTTTAATGATGACATATTTCTTTGTAGAAAATCTTTGATTTACAAGGCGAAAGTTGACTTCATTTCTATGTCACAAACTGGGTAGATTATCGACTTTCAAGTAAAGTAACAAATGGTTGTTGCCATCATCTAAATCGAGAATGGGTGCAATGGCTATCTGATTCAGAAAGAAGAGATGTTTATGAAATTTTCCCCGTAAGTACAGTTCGATTTTTATCTTTTCAAATAATTATAAAACTATAACATAATTTTAGATGGCAATGAAAATTTGGCAACTTGTTATCTTTCAATCATTACAAAAGCAAGTAACATTAGCATGTCTTCAATTAATCAAAGCCGAACGTCAAAATGAAATGAATAATACTCGATTTATTCGTGCAGTTGTAGAAAGTTATAGTAAAGATCAAGATTCTTTTTATTTTTCTTGAAATTTATGTGGAAAATTTTAGTCGAACTAGACTTCGAAAAAAATTCATCTGTACCAAATAGTAGTGATCAAATAACATCTCCAACATTGAAAATTTATAAAGATTACTTTGAAGTACCATTTCTTCAATATACAGAACAATTTTATCGTCAGGAAGCATCTAATTTTCTTGTTCACAATTCTATGTCTGAATACTTGAAAAAAGTTTATATTTATTTATAAAATGATAAAACATATTTAATCTTAATTTTAATAGGTATCACCATGGATTGATGAAGAATTACATCGAGTACAATCATATTTACATTCATCAACATTAGCACCATTAATTAAAAAACTTGAACAAATATTTATTTTTGATCAACTTGAAGCAATCTGTACTGAAGCAAAAACACTTTTACACAATGAAAATTATTCAGGTATAGAGACAAAAATTTATCAACATAATTGATTTAGAAAATTTCATATAATCGATTTTAAATGATTTATTTTTTAATAGATTTCGCATGTCGTCTATTCAAATCATCTGATAAAATACCAAATGTGACTGTTCAATTGAAAAAAATTTTTGAAGACAATTTTCTTCCAAAGGGTATTCAATCTATGGAACAAATCAGTATCACTGCAATTAATGTAAAACTAATTTACCATTGTCCCATATAATTATACTTGTTTATCTGTGGTTTTTTTTAGGATCCGAAACTTCACATTGAAACAATTCTTGATATTCATAAAAAATTCTTTAAAGTTGCACAAAATTTTTTTAATAATGACGAAAATTTGATTGCTTCAGTTAATAAAGTAAGTAGAATATTTTCCAAATAATTTCATTTATTATCTTGTGTATTTAGGCTTGTGGAAATTTTATTAATAATAATGCAATAACAGAAGCTGCTAATAATGCAAGAAAATCAGCTGAATTATTAGCTCGATATTTTGATATACTTTTACGAAAAGGGTTTGTTTAGATTTGATATTTACTATTAAATTGTAATCAATGAAAGTTTTTAGAAGTAAAGTTGAAAAAGGAATCAGTATTGAGAAAAAATTCGATCAAATTATGGTATTAGATTTTCTATTATTATTGTTCTTAATTTAGTTTTTTAATTTAGATAGTTTTTAATTATATTAAAGATAAAGATGTTTTCGAAAAATTTTATTATAAAATGCTAGCCAAACGTTTAGTAGGTAGATTAAGTACATCGAATGATTATGAAGAATTAATGATTTTAAGATTAATAGTAAATAAAATTTATTTATTATTGTAAAAAATTCTATTAAATATCTATTCCAGAACGCGTGCGGTTTTGCATATACATCAAAATTACAAAAAATGTTTCAAGATGTTAGTCTTAGTGGAACATTATTAGATCAATATCGAATATATTGTAAAAAAGAGAAGATTGATAATATTGGTATCAATATTTTAAACTGATTCTCTTTATAAATTTGCATATCATATGTATGTCTTTTTTTCATTTAAGTTGATTTTTTCTGTAATGGTTCTCAGTTCAAGTTTATGGCCATTTTATGCATTATCAAATATTATAATACCAATTGAAGTAATGTTTATTTTTTTCACTATTATCTATGCTATCGTACATTTTTAGCCTAAAAAAGCATTTGACAATTTCACGAAGTTTTATATAGAACAACATAATGCACGTAAATTAATATGGCTTCATCAACACTCCGAAGGAGATTTACAAATATTGTACACTGACAAAAACTATAATCTACATGTAAATATTGATTTATTTGAAAAATAAAAAAATAATTTTATTATTATTTTGAAATTCAAAAGGTATCACTATATCAAATGAATATTTTACTTCTATTTAATAAACTTTCAAGTCGGACAGTTGAACAAATTCAAGATGAAACATAAATCAAAATTGATTTATTCTTTCAAGGGTGTGGGTGGGTGTGGTGTGGGTGTAGATCTTTGATTCACTCGCATACCTACACCCTAAAATGATGACAAACTAAACTTTACAAAGAAAGAAAAGTAAAAAAATCACTGATAACCTCGAACATTAATGCATCGGCTTACATGTCTAATGGAGCAAATAAATCTCGTTGCAAAGTTGATTGAATTTAATATTTTTCGTTCTTTTACATCCTCTGATTCATAACTCTAGTGTCAGTGCGCCAAAGAAATATTACAAAAATAGTAACTTGGAAGAATTGATGCCATACTAATTAATAGAAATATACAATCCCAGCGAAATATCAACAATGATATATATGTGCCGTATCGAAGTTACACCGGCCGCCGAAGTTGCAATTTCGACGGCCGGTGTAACTTTGATACGACCTATATATAAATAAGAGGCAATTGTTAAGCAGTCACTTATTTTATTATTCTTATTTACATGATGGATGAAGTCTTTTCTCTCGATATTCTTTATGCCGATGAATATATTCCTGAGCAACTCTACCAACTTGTTCGACATGGTTTATGTTCTCAATTAGATACTCGATTACATGAACTTTCAAATTCCACCGAGTACTTGACAGCATTAACATGGCATAGTCAAGAACAGTTAAGTTTATTGATGGTTGCAGCTCTCAATGGATATGATGACATTGTTCGCGTACTTTTAACTCATTGTGATCCAACACGTCAGATTGAATTAAAAGGAAAAGTAATCATTTCTGGTGAAAAGTGTGTGAAAGGTGCAACAGCATTTTATTGTGCATGTTATCGGGGGTATTTTACTGTGGCGAAAACTTTAATAGAACTTGGTCATGCTAATGTTAATCAAGATACGTATAATTACCCACACTATCCACTTTTTATTCATGCTACGATAATGAATCGTCAAGATATAGTTCATTTTCTTTTGGAAAACAAATATGCGGATGTGAATGAAACGAAATCTGATGATTCAGATGAATGTACTGCTTTGATATGGGCTGCATTTCGAGGTTACACATCTCTCGTCAAATATTTGATAGAAAATGGTGCTGATGTTAATTATTCTTCTCGGGATAAAAATTTTCGACCTTCAACAGCAATCATGTGTGCCACGCTTCGCGGTCATGTAGATGTACTTCGACTACTCTATAATGCAGGCGCAAACACTAATATTGGACGCGATACAGGAGATACTTTACTCATGACAGCTGCTGAAAACAAGCATTATTCAATCGTTAGTTTCCTACTCGAACAATCGATAAATAATACAGTAGACGATCTTGAACTTGCTGCTTGTTCTTTATTTGATATTTCATCTTCCAATGATCAAATGAATTTAGTATTCGATCTCTTAAGAGTTGCTCTGCAACAACGTCAGCTACTACACATACCAAAAGTTTGCATACAATCAATGGATATCTATAACTATGAACAAGAATGTCAAACTATTGATGAACTTGATCGTGTCAAAGCTGATCGTGATCGAATTTTTATCGAAACATTACTTATTCGAGAACGTATTTATTCATCTCGAAAGGATATAACAGTAATGGAGCCATTAGAAAATTATGGCGATAGACTTGCATACAAGAAAGAATTTGATAAATGTCTTAATGTATACTTTCATCTATTTTATCTTTATTGTCAAGTAGACGTACATGTCAATCTGTCACGATTCGTTTGGCTTTTTTGCAAAATGCTTACTGAAAATCGAACAATACCTATTCGTGCTTTTGTACAAGTCTGTTGTTTAACATTCGAAATAACACGAAGTAAAGATATGAAGTATACTATTAGCAATGCACTTTTTCTTGTTATTATTGCAACTCAAGTAATTATTTTCTGTTATTTTATTTTACTTTATGTATTATTTATTTAGATTCTTGAACAAAAAGGAATAACTAAAGAAGAACAAACATTGATTTATTCTTGGATAAGAGATTTATGTCGTCATCGACTGACTACTCCAGATGGACAAACTCTACTTCATCTTTGTGTTGATACAAATACTAATGATAGTCTCAATTTTCGTCCTACAGATACAATTACTCACATAAAGTAAGTGTGAGATTTTCGTGTTCCTGATAGATTTATGAAGAATTTTGCTTTTGTAGATTTCCCAATGAATCTGGACTTCGATTGTTATTGGATTGTGGAAGTCGTTGGCTTGATTTAGATGCAATCGAACCTTCTTTTGGTAATACACCACTTCATATCATATGCAAAAGAAATGGAGATCAAAAGATCATTAAATTACTTTTGAATTCTGGATGTCATATGGATTGTGTGAATAAAGGGGGGAAAATTCCATTAGATTATGTAAACAATAAAGAGATCAAAGCTTTGTTTACAACAAAACCAACTCCAGATCCTCTCAAATGCTTATGTGCACGAATTATTGCTAATAAACGTTTGAACACTGGTACTTCGAGTGCATTAACATCAGCTTTAAAGAAATTTGTTTTCTTACATGGTAGTTTACGCACTCAATCTGATTGTAACTAAAAGAAAAATCTGACAATGGCCCACTCTATCATTATTCGTTGCTTATTCGTAAATTCTTTGATCAAATGCAATCTGTTGCTTTGCTTACCTTTCAGCAAACAACTGGCTGGAACTTGAGAAAGCAGTAATAGTAGAGTTTATTTTGCATTTATTTTTTTTTGTTTAAATAATGATTGAAGTTTCGCCTTCGAGTTAGATTCGTGTAGTTTTACCAATTTGTTTTCTTTATTTGTGTTCATTTAATCTTGTTCTTTGTGCAACAAATTATTTAATCTATTCAACTGCTTGTCTTCTTCATGCAAATGAATCATTTTGTTCTGAAATTGATCACAATAAATCACTTCGTCTATCACAAGAAACCATTCAAAAAGAAAGTTCCCAATGGTCCCCTTATGGTACATTATCTTTTGCAATAATTGCTTGTTTTATTTCACCTATTTATGGAAGTTTATCAGATACAAAAAATCGAAAATTACCTATTGTTTTAACAATATCAAATGTAATAATAACAGGGTTGATTATTACAATTGAAAATATTTTCCGAGGTACTAAAACATGTTTAGTACTTTATATTTTAGCAAATATTGTCAATGGATTTAGTGGAGGAACATTAATTCTTACTTCGTATATTTATTTATAATAAAATAAAAAAGAAGACAATGTTTTTTATTTAGTTCATGTTTTGGTTATGCTATTGATGTATGTAGTAAAAAAGAACAACATGCTCCAGCAATTGCAGTTATTGAAGCATCATTAAATATCGAAGCTGTTATTGGTTATGTACTTTGTACGTTTATTTTTGAATTACATGCTAAAATCTGGCAATTATTACTCGTTCATGTTCTTTTATTATTTCTTGCACTTTTTATAAGTCTTGTTTTTTTAAGAAGTCGAAAAGTAACAGATTCATCAACATTAATTAACCTTTGGATAAAGATAAAACGTCCATTTATTGATATTCATGATTTAATAATTGATTTAAAAATAAATGCATCATTATTATCATTTATTATTCTACTTTTATCACTTTTTTTCTATGAACTTTTTCGTATGAGTTCATCATTAGTTTTTTATTTATATTTATATCGTATGTTATTTAATGGTACACAATATGCAGCTTATTTTACTTGTGAACTATTAGGAACTTGTTTCGCATTAATTTTCTTAGCATTATTAAGACGACAATGGAAAATCAATGATCTTTATTTATGTATTATTGGTTTATGTCTTTCATTAGCAGGACTGATGTTATTTGCATTTGCTCTGAACAAAAAACGATGATTTTTGGAGGTAGAAAAGAAGTTTATAGAAAAAAAAAGATTTCTTTTTGATATAGCGATCTCTTCGATGATGTTTGGTATTTATTTTCCTGTACGTTTAAGAGCAGTTATTAACCATTTTGTACCGGAAAGAGATAAAGGTATCAGGAAAATCTTTTCTAATGAATATATTGATAGTCATATTTCTAGGCAAAGCATTTAGTTCTGTTGCTTTTATTCAAAATCTTGATATTGTTTTTGGTACAATTACTTGTATTCAAATTTATCGGGTATCGATTAGCTTTTTTGCTGGTCTTGTGTATATCTTTGGGTTTACGACAAGATTAATTGCATTAATACTTATTCTGTAAGATGCTTGGAAACGAAATCTTTTTTTTTATATTATATTTCATTTCTTCTGGTGTACAAGTTTTTTGTTTTAGTCATACACCGCAATTAGAAATACGAATGCTGATTGATATTGTTGAAAATCCTCTTGTAGATGTTCAATTGAGTACTGATGATGAATTAATTCGTGCATAACAGAAATGATATTAGTTGATTTTCTCTGTGATAAATAAATGCATTTAATTGATACGATTTTTTTCTAGATAAAATGATATGTATATTAGTAAAGCTTTCATATCTATTTTTTATTGTTAATATTGGTATTGATGCTTTGCCAATTAATGGAAGGGTGTGGGTGTGGGCGTGGGTGTCGGTGGGGTGTGGGTGTGCGTGGGTGTGGGTGGGGTGTGGGTGTGGGTGTGGGTGTGGGTGTGGGTGGGTGTGGGTGCGGCTGTTTCATGAAGGGTATCCACACCAACACCCACGCCCAAAATGATAGTGGACTGAAAGAATTTTTGTCGCGACATATGCACTGAATATTATGTTCGAAATCCTGTCCAAATCGGAGGTTTGTTTAATCAATTATAAGAAAGTTAATTATATTTTTTTACAAGGTTCAGGAGATATTGTTGAAATCGACGAAAGCTGTTTCGGAAAAGGAAGTACGAACGGGGTCATCTTATTCGTTGTCAACAATGGGCCTTTGGAGGAATTGACATACAAACAAAAGAATGCTTTATGGTCGAAGTTGATAAGCGTGACGGCAGCACATTAATACCAACCATGCAACAATATATTTTACCTGGTAAGCGACCAATTTTTAAAAAATTATCATTTCAAACTTCGTCTATTATTATAGGAACTGTTATTCACTCAGATGAGTGGAAGTCGTATAGTGCACTTAGAAATGATCCAATGTACATCATTTAACTGTAAACCATTCGCTTCATTTTGTTAATCCACGAACGAAGATACAAACGCAAAATATTGAAAATAGTTGGATGCGTGTGAAATGCAAGCAAAAAAAAACAATGCGGTCTTTATCGTTAAACTCGTACGTACAAGAATGCATGTGGTGTCAAAAATTTGGTAAATTTCCTTTAACAAATCTTGTTGATCAAATTATTCAACTTTATCCTGTTTAATTAGTTTTTTGTGTTCTTGTTCTACTTGTGTTAAATAAATTTTTTTTGACAAGTCATCATATCATATTCGAATTTCCCCTCATATACTACTGTCATCTTTAATAGCCATCTATATATATATTGTTTTTTTTCGTTCTGCCCATTTTATTCGCTTGTTTTTTCAGCCAATATTTTTGTTTTCCTTTCTCTCCTGTGTCTAAAGTAAACAAGTACCCTATATCATTTGATTTATAATCAATATAAAATTCTCATTCGGTTTAGTAAAAAAAAGTTTCTATATCTTGAAGAAAATTGCTGTTAATATCAGGTGACGTCTAATTTTCGCTCTGCTTATTAATAAAAATGAATATTATCAAGTACTCGAATAAGAAAAAAAACTAATTAAAGACGAGCAGCATGACCAGTCCGAAACGTCTTCCATACCCCTCGAGAAAAAGACTACAAAGACTGTCGTTCACTTTAAAATAATGTGAATATTTTTTTACATGATATCATTGAACTTAAAATAAGCATTATGATTCTTGCAATTTAACAGTTTATATGGGTCGTACAAATTCATTTTAGTTTTAATTTAAAAAAAAAGTAATTTAAAATAAAAAAAAATAATTATTTTATATTAAATTGCAATAATTATTAATTTGTTTTATACTTGATTCTTTTTGCACGTAGGATATCTTGGAGCTGGATTCGAGTATTCCGTAGCTGGATTCGTCTGTAGGTTATACCAAACCCTGGCAAGGGTATACCAAGATAGATCTTGACGAGTTCTATCGATTCCACTATTTACTTTTTTCCCAACCCCTTCCCTTCATGGAAAAAAGTTAAAAAAACTAACGAAAAATCACGAAAAAAACAAGCATTTTTTGTAAACCGCACCTGGCTTCGCCTACAGGTTATACCAAAGCACACAAATGGTATGCCAAGATAGATCGCGTCGAGCTCTATCTAANTTGATTATCAATTAATTCTTTAATTTCCTTTTCGGTTAGCATAATGTTTTTTTCAGTTAAGCAATAAAATCTTAATTATTAAGCATCACGTTGCATGATGAACAAGTGAACAACAGGAAATACCTGTACATAAACTTTTCCTCTGAGAATAGCCAATAATTAGCTAAAACCATGAGTCTTCACTTGTTCATATATACAGACGGTGCTAGATATTGGCGAAATACTTAACGAGTCTGGACCCGGTCGGGTCCAGGTCTGGGTCCGTATATGTCAAGCCCGTGTCTGGGTCCGGGTCTAGAAAATTAATGCCACTCGGGTCTGGGTCCGGGTCCATAAAAATATGGACCCGCTACTCTCTAACCGCTTGGGAGAAGGATGCCGAATCTAACAGTAAAGATATTAATAAAGTGATGAGGTAACCGATCGATGATATGGTTCATCTTCAGTTCTTTCAATGAAAGACTTTCATTGTCATGTTTAACTCTTGTTGATTCCACCGTATCTTGTGAGAACTAGTGAAATCTAATAATAAATCGATCTATTATATAGGTGACTGTTATCGCAGCAAGTACAACTTGGGGTCTTTTTCTTCTTGTATTAATGCTTGGTTATGGTCTTGTTCAAGTACCATTAAATATTTATAATCATGCTCGAACATCGTATATGCTTTCTCATACTCAATTTAAATTATCTCAACTTTATAATGAAAAAATTGATGTTGAAGAACGCTTAGAATCTCTTGTTGAGGAAGTATCAAAATTATGTCTTGAAATAAAATATAATGATCCATTGCGACCATGTCTAGAACAAATTGTTAAAATAATCCCTGAACAATATTCTAATCGAGTTAAATTAACAATGGATGATTATGAAGATTATAGAAATACAACAACAAATAATTTAACGAATCTAACAACGGAAAAAACATTAATTAGATTACATAGACTCTTAAAAAAAAATAAACATATTCATCATCGGGTACAAGCTTCATGGATACATATGATTGACGAAGCTTTTTATTTAGAAGATATTTTAAATAATGAAAACAATGCCAATTGTTCATTTGTTAAACAAAGTCCACTGCCAAGATCTTGGTTAAGACAAAAATTATTTGATGAACATCCAGTTTTAGGTAAAACAAAAAAACTTATTGAAATAATCATCGTTTTTTGTCTTATATTTTCCAATTTGAATTAATCGGAAAGAGAATAGAATAAACATAACACAGAAAACATATTGTATCAAAACAAAGAAATAACATAAAGTCTTTAAATCTCTATATATAAAGTCGACATCGAAACTAGGCATGTAACAATACCAATACAATTAGGAGAAACCAGCAATTATTATGATAATCAGTAACTAGTAATGAACAATTTTATGATCTTAATATTTTCGTTAAGAAAAAGTTATTTTTTGAAAATAATGATAATCTATAAAGTTTGATCAAACGACTTCGTAGTCCAGGAGTCTGAATCTATAATCCATTTTTCAAAACTTTTGAGTGTTTTTTTTTTCAGCAAACTAATTGGAGATGCACGAGGGAATATATCCAATCGCGGCAGAGCCGAAATCTAGTAAACAATAGATAATCGATCATGCTGAATCCGAATATCAGGATTTATTGTGCTGCCAAGCCTCGACACCTCCAAGACTGGAAAATCGGTTTGCTGCGACGAGAACCTTTTTTCTCCAAAATATTTTTTCGCCTCTCGAAACATGTAGGGTAGAGTCGATTGAGTCTAAAGTTTTCAAACTTGGATCCGACAGGCCCTATTTTAGGCTCAAAAACTTAATTTAGTTATTCGAATCTTCTAATCTGCTACATTCATTTAGATAAGTTCTTTAGAAAGAAAAACACTAAATATTTTATTTAATAATAAAAAACTTTTTCTTTTTTTTAGAATGGTATACATTTTGTCTTATACGTCCTTGGGCTCTTCGTATTCTTGGCATAAGTTTAGGTTGTTTATCAACAATAGTTATCTGGTCTGAAATGACATTTTTTAGTACGAATCCCGTTTTGTCCATATTTGCTCAGTGTGTTAAACGACACAAAAATGTTGCAGCAAAAATTAAACTATTTTCATCAGTTAAATGATAAAGTGATAAATAAAAATAATTAAATATACGAATACGAAATATTGTATAATATGCACATANCAATTTAAGTAAGATTACATTTAAAAAAATATTTATTTTTATTTAAATTAAAAAAAATGATTTGAATAGATATTTTGTTGTTTAAGTATCGCTTATTTATGTTTATGTGCATATTATACAATATTTCGTATTCGTATATTTAATTATTTTTATTTATCACTTTATCATTTAACTGATGAAAATAGTTTAATTTTTGCTGCAACATTTTTGTGTCGTTTAACAGCTCCGCTTAGTTATAATTTTCTTGGTTTGATACATATGGATCAAACGATGATAAAAAAAACTGCTCGAACAGAAACTATTTTTACAACGGTAACTAAAATAAATCAATAAGAAAAAAAAATCATTTTTCAGAACAATTTAGATAATGGGTGGTATGAATGTCATTCCAATAATTTCCAAGGGCTTTAATTTTTATTTTCCAATGTTAATATGTATATTATGTGTTGGAACATATTTTCGACTTGGTTCTCGATGTTTACATATATTTGGTATTCAACAATTTTTTGATGATGATGATATATCAGCTGAATATGTTGAAGATGGAAAAAGTTTAATGAGAAAAGGTTAAAATTATCTTTGTTGTTTTTTCTTTATTTTCAAAAATAAAAATTTAGAACGAAGAAATTATGGTGGAAGCGAAACATTATCAACAATGGCAAATACAACAACACCTACTCAACGACGTGATAGAAGAAGAGAATTAGAAGAAAAATATGGACTCCGATCAACAACGACAAATATGAGGACATCAACATCACGAGACGATTATTTTCAGGATCTTAAATCAGGTTAGAATTTTTTCTTCAAGACTTTTTTATGATAAGTTTTTTATTATAGAAACTCGTCAATTAAGACCACCATCAATGTCAGAAGAACCATTGATAAGTCTTAATAATAATCAAACAGTCTCTTCGAATGCGATAATACCATCAGGTAAAGAATTCTAAAGAGAAAAAAAAAACAAGCATGTTTCTTAAAAAGTAGCTTCCTATTACTATTAAATTCTTGAATTTAATAGATTTTAATAAATGTTCAATTAGAAAAATCTTTATAATTAAACTATGATTTGAAAGATTTGACAATATATGTTCATTTTTTCAATTATATTAAAAGACTATAGAATTCTATCTCAACTTAGGTTTTGTAAGTAAGATGCGAAATAACCAGGCTGTAATTCATTGGAAGTTTTCTTTTCTAGACATATACGTACCGAAAGTTGTCATTTTTTGTTGCAATAATCTCAAGAATGAAAAATTAGAAAACATATGTTCGAGCGGGAGATAAAAATATCAACATCGAATCAATATCATCTGTTTCTTTACCTTTAATAGGAGGTTTCGTTGGCTTGGAGAGAGTTCGACAAAAAAAAGCTACTTCTCATGGACTTCATTTTTTTTAATATTCAAGATAATTAAAACGAAAATGATCTGAAAAGTTAGACATCGAACTATTTTTTAAGTTGCAACATAAGTAAAATGAAACTTGAAAAGAATCACATCTGTCAAAATAGCTGATTCTAGACTATGAATAACAGAGATAATTAAATGATCAATGTATTGTATAAATACAACAAGATAGAGAAAACAAATATAATTTTAGAAAGTAAAGATGGATAAGTATCGAATTAATGTTCAATTCAATCTTACAGAATCTTATCCAAGATATATAAATTATTCGAAATTGTAACATAGATAATGAAGAATATTTCGTTCTTTAATTGTTACTTTTGGCTTTATTGAGGTAATACCTAGTTTAATTAGAATTTGTTTTGTAATTTCTCCATTCTATGTAAGTCTGTGTAGAACGACTATAACTGTTGTTTGTTTTCGTTTCTAGTTCTATGGTAATATCTAATTTCAACCATAAGTAATTTCTCAACGAAAGTCTTTAGTTAAAGCTACTCGAAAATACTATTTAGATAAATTAAAGATTAAGAAAATCTGACGATTTTATGTTGTGTAAACATTAGTTGCGATCTATTCAAAAACTTGTTTATAGTTAATCAACGTTAAGCTGGACAAGAAATTTTAACAAAACGTATTGTCATTGCTCAGGTAAGTAGAGTACAATCTGTTCCTCTACGAAAAAAATCCTACTATGTTAAAAGATTAGAATCAAAATTTTGAAACATTATATAGAGTTAAGAGTTCTTCGAAGCATATGAAATTTTCAGAACTGAATATTGACAATGAGCGAAAGTCATGTTATTCAATGAACTTTTGATGTTAGCGACACTTATCTTAAGATAATTTACCGAGAAATTCAATTTTCTAAGAACTAAAGTCAGTACGACGAAATTGATGTTATCATATTCTCTTTTTTCTTCGTCGAAGCTATACATAGTGGATCATCAGACATGAGACTTGAGTTCGTTCATATATCAATATTCAGATCATTTTTCAATGAGAACTCATAGTGTTCAAGTGGGAAAATGACTGGAACAGGATAGTGAAATTGTTGACTTGGATAGTCTAAAAACGAAGCAACTGATTTATGAACTTTTTAATAATGATTCTTGTTAGATTTATTTTCTTGATTATAATTGATTATTGACATTGATCATTGAGTGTTTTCATCAATCAAGAAGCAGCGAACTAGATAAGATTCTACTATCCATGAAGAGTGTAGTTTCTTTCTTTTATTTTATATGAACTTTTATGGCTTTTAATATTCTCTTAATATTATTTAAAACTTTGAATTTCATGAATAACTGAGTTAGATCGAATAATAGGTTTTTTTAAATATTTTGGAATATATTAATGTACTTAATAATATTTTCATAATTTTAGGATCTTCTCGTCGAATAGCTCCACCGACAGACATATTCAATGATGTTTAAAATAACTTATTTGTTGTCATTGTATAATATATAATCCTATATAACTCTCCTAATTGTTTATAGATGTTGTATTTTAATTGATATTGTCTAATCAGTCATTAACGAATTCTCTTTTATTTAACATTTAGTGTTAATCATACTTGTCAAGCACAGAAAGTTGTTTTATTTATTTCATGTTGTATTTCTCATTTAAGATGAATGATCAAGGAGATAATCAAACAAATAATAATTTGACTGAATTACATGCTGATGTTGCTGCAACAACAAACGTTTTGAAAGTAACAGTTGAAAAATTAGTTCAACGTGGAGATAATTTAGATGCATTAAATGATCGAGCTGAAACACTGAATTCAACATCATATCATTTTCGTGGTGCAGCGAGACGTGTTAATCGACGTATGAGATGGCAAAATTATAAATTAACTATTTTCATGAGTAAGTTTTTATTTGAAGTTATTTTTAAAAAATTATTTTTATTTATTCTAGTTTTTGTTGTAATCTGTATAATTGTTTTTATTATATTGATGGCTCTTCATCCATGGAAAAAATGATTTGATGATGATAACGAGAATGATTTTGTAAATAAGAATTTTGATCTAATGGGATTGTGAACTAGTTTTTAACTCTGATTTTTCTATGATCTATTGTATATATATATAACAAAGCTTTTGGTTTTTGAAAATACATATTTATACAAGAAAAAGAGATTTTATAAGGACTGGTAGAATATAATGAATGATGATGAAGGACAATGATGATGGAATAGAATACATTATTTTGAGAATCTTTTCATTTTCTAGAAAACAAAAAAGAAAGATTTCAATTTTTCAGATAATATGAACTTTTATGAGACTTGTCTGATGTTTGTTTGATGAAGCAGATATTCGTGATAATAAAGATTTTTTTTGATATTGAATATAATCAAGACTAAAAATAAAAGAGCTTTTGATTTTTAAAATCTTTTTGTCGTACTTATGAATATGTTCATCAAATATGTCAACTGTATTACAAATTGTATCGGATAGAACTTGTCGATTTCGTTCAATAATTACTGTTGTTGATAATGAACTCATAGAATCATTATCACTCATATTTCTATTATTGGTAATTTGCTTTCTTTTTCTTTGTTGCTTTGAACGTAAACATTGTTTTTCTAAAAGACTTAACGACGACGAAGATGAATATCTCAATGATCTACTGCTAGGCAAATAAGAATTGTTACGATTTGTTTCTAAAAGCCAGTTGATGGTTCGATCACGTTGATATTGTTCAATAGTTAATAATTTATTATTCTGCATCAATACGACATGAATATTGAACACATATTGAAATAAAATATGGCGCTTGAAATTTATTAGTTACTCCAAAGTATGAATGAGATCTACTACTTTCTGTAAGAAAATCTTATTCAAATCGTATAACAGATTTTGATCGACAGTTCAGAATTGATTAGTATAATGTTTTGATTTATTTCATAGCATTATAACAACTGACAATAACAAAAATATATTTGTACGTCAAAATATTTCGTTTTTGTCTTACCTGTTAGAAGCAGCACTGGGCATAGGACAGCCTTTTCTATCCTGTCATATTCTGTTGCTTTACTCCGCTCTGGCCGACGCCAGGACAGGATATAAATTGTAGCTTCGTCCTATCTTGCAGAACAGGACAGAACATGACAGTAAGAATCATTGTTTTAACTCTCGATCATCAAGGTACATATTAGTTTATTTCGTATCATTTTCAAATACAGCACATAAATTTCTTAATACTAACTAATATTATAAACACAAGAAAATATAGAAACATTTTGCTTTATTATTTTAATTACAAGTTCATCACAGAAAACGAAAATTAAAAAAATATGAATTTGTGAAGCTTTATCATCATTATCTTAACATATTGTAGATACTATTAATAAACAAAATAGAACAATGAAAAAGTACTTGATAAAAAAATGATACTAAGAAAAAGAAAATATAAAGAAAAGAGAGGAGCACAGGGAACAGAAGACCAGGATCGTCCTGTCCTATGTTCTGCTCTAATTGAAAGGCCAGATGCATGTTCATAGCTACTTTCATACTCATCTGATAGTTTATTGTCTTTTCTTATTTGATGTTGATTATTTACAAGATGAGGTTCATTGATGATAGTGGTGCCTTGTTCGTCATGTTTTCTACCCTAAGAACGAAATAAAACAATCAAAATATATCGTTGATCTTATTCTCTGAAAAATGAACAGTTGTATCTGGGTCATTGACTAGTTTTAAATGTAACATAAAATGACGGATGATAAACAAGATGATGACCAATATAGTCAGCAGTTGTAGAATGCCTACCAAGCAGAATTCAGAAGTCTGTTGACTTAAGTATTTTTTAAAACAAGTTATTTATCACAGACTAGAATTTTGTTGTTATCTCCTTATTTCTCAATAGAATTCTGTGTTCCACAAGATAATCTTTACACACGGTAGTGATCAAAGGATAGTACTATCGTTTTCTAGTCAGTTTATCGTTTGCCTAGAATTCTGTATTATCAAAGACAACGTATTCTGTTCTGGTCTGTTTAAAGTCTGCTTAGCATTCGGTAGAATTCTATGTTCTCAAAGACATAGAATTATAAAATAACAGAATATATGCTGGAGAAACAATTGCATTGTATACGATGATTTTGTCGCGTAGAGGTGGAGGATGATTGTGATTTTCTTGATTTTATGGATAGAACATGATTTATATGTGAAATGGAAGAGGCCAAAGATGTTTATTATTTTTCCTGGACTACATTTTTGTGAAGGAAGTTTCAAACATTTCAATGTGTCATTCTGCGTATGCGATTATTCAAGCCAACAAACTTCATGATGAGATGATTTCTTCTATTGGTTCAAATAATGTTCGAATTAATAAACCACTTGATCTGCCTCCTTCTACAACAGACTGGAAGAGTCAAGTTCGTCAATTAAAAGACAAACTGGAAATTTGTTGAAAACACTACAACCAATTTTGTTTTATCTTTTATCATACATCAAAATCTTCATGAACATGAGTTTACAAGTTTTTTTTCTTTCTCTGACGATCTATATAACTTCATATTTTAAGAAAAATAAAATT